GAAGGTGTCATCTTTGAAGTTCTAACGGCCCATCCTCGTTTCGTCTAATTTCGTTGAGTCCTACAATCCATAAATTTTTTTTATTTTTGATCAATATTGATTGTGGCTTCCAAATTGATTCTGTTCTTAAATAATTTTTTATTAAAGTTCAGGGTTTCACATCCGCAAGTGAGCGAAAACATTTAAAGATCTTTTGTCGACTCAAAAACCACTGATTTTCTTAGGAAAGCCATATTCATTTTTTTATCACATAAGCCCAAACATTGTGTAAAATGTTCTGCGGTAGCATAACGTGTTTGACGCATTTCAGTTCCTCCCCGGATCGACAAGGACCGCACCACTCATGACGTCATTGTACAGGAAGGTCAGAACGTCACGTTGAACTGTGCTGCAGACGGTTCTCCAACTCCGACGATTTCGTGGAGGCATAAAGACGGAGCTGTGATACTCACAAACAGCCCTGAAGGATATGGAGGTAATTTTTCACAAATATAAACAAAATGTGCCATGTGTTGTATAGCACGTTATGCCTGAGTTAAATTCGTTTCAGAGAGCGTCGTCCTCAAGCAGAACCTGACCCTATATAGGGTGAGCAGGAAGCATATGGGCGAGTACATATGCTTAGCCAGCAACGACGTCCCGCCAGACGAGTCTTGGAGCATCAGGCTGCATGTGCACTGTAAAACAATTTTCGAACGTATGTCAGAAGTGGCTATTTTTAACTGTTTAGTTTCACCGTCGATTCGCCCGATAGAAGCAGTGGTTAACAGCGGTGCCGGCAAATCCGCACAACTGAGCTGCGTCGCTGAGGCTTGGCCAAAGCCGGAATTTTCATGGGAGTTTCGAGGAACCGTCATTGTCCCTGATTATCAAAAATACCGTATCGTACGTTGACCACGCATTATTCGTTAAATCACACTCTCTTGTGCACGAGACAAAATCGTAGGCATTTGATTTAATGTTAAGGCATAGCAAGACCATTACAATGGCAAATATCGTCATTCGTTGATAAAAACAATTACATAAAAGTCCAGACATTGTCGTTGCATGTTGCCCCTCATTTTTCTGGTCAGACCATCTGAGTCTTGAACGATCGTTATCTCTCTGTATTCTGTGATATCATCCATGAAGCATTGTCTAGTTCTTCCCTTTTCCTTGGCGAAGCGTCGTCGCCCTCTCCTCAGATGGCAGCTGACA